AGCTTAAAGTTGCCAAGGTTGAGAAACAATGCTCTAATGGATCCTGCAGCAAGGTGGATGAGATGACCCTTGTGGTCCTTTCCAACTCAGTGATTCTATGAGCATTCTCAGAAAGTGGTTGCTGTGATTGAGTGTGCACAAAAAAAATGCACAGAACATGCATTTATGAGAAAACAAAATCAGGACTGATTTATTTTATTGAATTTAGAGGCTGTCTAACTCCCTGATGACTCTAGGTGGCTTACATTTTAAATGTAGGAACCAGAAAAAGAGACACACATCTGGAGAAAAACCCTGCATCAGAACAAGAAAACCAATAAATCTTGACAGCCACTCTAACCCCAGGCCTGGGAGTAAAGCCAGTTTTTCGAAGACTTTCAAAACACTTGTACGGTGGGAGCCATAGGAATCTGGGGGATGCTGCTCTAGGGGGCAGGCGCTACGACAGAGAAGGCATGTTTCCTAGGTCCCACTATGTTACATTGTTTAATTGAAGGGACCTAGAGCATGTCCGCTCTGCCCAATCTTATTGGGTGGGCAGAAACTGTTGGAAATTGCAGTCCCTCATATAACCAGGCCCTGCGTCGTAAAAGGCTTGAATTGCACCTGGAACCCAACTGGCAACCAGTATAGCTTGTGAAGTAGCAGTGACACAGGCATATTGTGGCACACCCAACACTGCCCACACCACTGCATTCTTCCAAGTAGTCTTCAACGGCAGCCCGATGTAGAATACATTGCAGTAATCTATTAATGAGTTGACTAGGGCATGAATGATTCTCTGAAGGCCCTCCCATTCTAGGAACGGGCACAGCTGGCTCATAAGATGGACCTGTGCAAAGGTGCTCCTGGCCACAGCTGCCACCTGCTACTCACGCAGGAGCTGTAAGTCCAGGATGTTTTCCTCATACCTCTCTCTAACCTTCCAGGATGTTTCTACTACCTTTCTTTTTTTCCCCAGGCAATGAGTATACACTAGTTCAATTTTATACACAAGGCTACAACCGTCCTTCATTTTACTGCCTAAGGATGCGTCCGGGGTATAGGTAAGCCCAAAGACATCCCTAGAGAGGTAGATTATGCTGGAGGCAGGCATTTTGTTTTGCAATATGTTAACTTTCCAGTTTTTAAAAACTAAGTGTCTTTTTAACAAATCAGGACAACAAACTTGTTGGGTGACTGTATGGCACCTTTTATTTCCCAAGTTTCAGTAAAGCCAAATAAGAAGGATGGAGATGAGGCTGTTACCAGAGGGTTTATTGGCCAAGGAAAACACCTGGATGGCTAAAGGAGTCTCG